AAAAATAAATTCAAAATCCTTGTTTCAATGATCAGTGGAAATTATTTTAGGAAAATCAAATATAGACTAGGCCTTTAATTTGATTTTACAATATGTTGATGACATGATTTCAAAATTTTTTCACCTTTCTATCTACAAATTACATAGTTTGTATTAATCAGTATGAGTTAGATAAAGATTTATTTTGTCATGGTTCAACTAACAGCTAATAGAGTCAAAATAGAATGAAGGGAAAGATATAAAGGGTTTTATTTAAATTAAATAAGTGACATAATTATTCACTTATAAGAGTTGGAATTTTTCTGTTATTGAAGTTAAAAGCTGCCACTAATTGCTCACTTATAGCTTATGTGCTATCAAAGGAAACTTCCTCGATCATTTCATTAAGTATACAGTATTTCTAAGCTAAGTAAGAAAGTGGTTGACTAAGACAAAAAATGCGTTTATTGTTTTGCGTGACTCGTCAACTAGATGTACATCCACCCAAGTGTTTATATTCACTTTCAGACTTGAATCTAATGCTTTTAACTTTTAGCACCCAACGCTGTATTTCCTTGGCTACTCAGTCCAGTTAGATGTTCCATCGATAGATATTACTTAAGTTTGCCTTAAAATGAAATATTGATTTCCGCTCATTCGCACTTTAAAATGACATTGGTCCATCATAAAAATTAGCACAATACATATAAGAGAACAATATTGATTACACTTAAATAAATGATATATTTTTAATTTCCCAATGAGTAGAATAATTAGATTTTCTGACGTTTCGTGAATTAGTGTAAGTCACTTCTTCAGAGAATAAATAACCGAATTAAAATTAATCCAAGTTTAAATAGTACAACGGAATACTAATCAAGGTAGTTTATCAGTCAATGTTCACAATGAGGTATATTGTATATGAATATGAATCGTTATCAATAGAATCTAGCGCAAGTTATGTGTTCCACTTTGTACGTTTATAAACTGATCACAAATTTATTGGTAAATAAAAACGGTCTGAAATTATTTCTACAACTTATGAAGGTCTGATGATATGAAATTACTTTCCAGTTTAATTACTTTCTAGTTTAATCAGTTTCCTTAATTTCGTTTAAAAATGATTCAAATCGCAACTGAAAGTCACGCTTTAACTTGAAAGGTACATATTAGACAGTATAATTCTTTACAAATCAATCGAATAAGTTATAATAATTTATGAAATTATTTACGAATATAACAAATTCCGACACAAAATTATATTTACTCAATTGTTTTTGTATAATAGTCAACGTATGTGAGAAATTTTTCTATTGATCTCTGTCATAACTACTGATTCCTTTTGTATCCAACTGTCTTGATCAGTTTAAAATTGTTTTTTTTAATAAGTTAGGTATTTTTAGCAATGATAATCGAGAAAATACTTAATTTTTCTTTTCAGCTCTGTATTGATTGATAGACATTTGTGATCAAACTGATTTTATTAGTGAATTTGTAAAAAACTATTCTTTTAGATTCAGTTTCATACATAGCTAAGTGGTGTAGTATCAAGTGAATAGGGAATCATTACAAAATACGAACAACTCCTCCTGGAGCCCCTCTGGGACTACTGCCTGTCCCAAGCCCAGATGAAAGAGGAGGGTTGGGCACGGTGTAGCGACCCCATCTTTTAAAAAAAATTAGACAGAACTGGAAAGGAAGGCGCAGGATAGGTTGGTTTGGAGAATGCTGGTCGGCGGCTTATGCTCCATTGAAAGTAACAGGCGTAAGTAAGTGAAGTAAGCAAAATATACGAATAATTCTATTTATAATAATGAACGATCTTTAACGCAAAACGAGCGATGATGGATAGTGCCCAGCAGTGGAATCCAGGACGTGCTTTTAGTCCTATTTGGGAGTCATCAGCTGAATGTACCTGTATCTCAGAGTTGATGTTCATCCTAGGATTCGAACCCATTATCAGGACAATACGCACAGTATGCACATATGACAATACGAGGCTGATCAATTGAAGTCCTAAACATCAATGGGAAGATTCAATTAAACAAAATCAAGTGATTTTTAACACAGTTATTATACAGTTCAATGAAAATGTTATAAATGGGGTCTTGGAATAAAACATAACTTGTACTCTGAAAACGTCGAAATTTATGTCATGAATAATGATTATCCATTTTATCTGATTTAATTATTCATTGTTTATGTATATATTTATCTTATTCTCAGTTATAGAAATTATGGTTATGTAATTATCATTCAAAAGAATGTCGATATCTTGTTATTGAGGTAAAAAGAAAATATCAAAACTTGATTTTTATTGTCAAAAAAGTAACTTGACAGATTTGAAAATGAATTTATTTAGTGACCCTCAACAAACTTTGTTTTTGCATAAAAATATGAAGGTAAATATTTGAAACTAAGTAAATTGAGTTTTTACTTCTCAGTTGATTTATGACTTATATTTTACTGATCTACTTTTCTAACTGTTTAGACTTCTGATTTTATAAGTAGTAATTCGAACATGAACAATTGTCTACGAAAGATACTCCATATCCGTTGATCGGATATCATCAATAATAGTCTACTGTGGAAAAGAAAAAAAACCAGCTTTCAAATGAAGAGGGAATTAGGAAAGGACTTTGAAGGTGGAAAGGACATACATTGAGAAAATCATCAGACTACATCACGAGACAAGTATTAACTGAGAATTATAAATGGAAATGTAAAAGAGGATGACCAAGGAACACACTGCACCAAGAATCGGAAGCAGATATGAAAAGGATGAATAGTAAATAGAAAGAACTGGAGAGGATTGTCCAGGAAAGAGTTCGATGGAGAATGGTAGCGTTCGACCTATGCCCCTCCATGTGTGGTAACAGGCGTAAGTAAGTATATAAATAACTTCCCGTATACAGTAAATGTATTTGTATTTTAAAGTTGTACATTGGAACTTGATGACATTCTTTAACCAAAGTAATGTGATATATACAAGAATTCACTGAATACATTTTAGATTTTCTCAACTGATATCCTTAATATTTCTCAAATGAAATGATGATAAATTTGTGAATGTTGGTCAAATCCGAGTTTTGATTGTGAAGTTTGGCTTTACTAAGCAAAAGGTAAAATAAGAGGCAGTCAGAATATTTAACAAGTACAATCAATAAATGTTTATTCGACAAGGAATCATCAGTTATTACATGATATAAACTTTTAAGCATAGCCAAACTGATGAATAGTGATATTCTTTATATTAAAATGATATATCACTAACAGATTCCCACAAATCAATCCCACTACACACCATTATGTTAATGTCCATTTCTGTACATTACTTCTTTATGGTTCATGTAATGTGTTTTTAGTGATTGTGATGAACAATGAAAATAAACATGTCTTCTACAATTATCCTCATCCAAGATTGGTATTATTTGATAATCTTTTGAATGATTATGTAGCATAACTAGCGACACCAAGTGAAACCCACTAAAAGCATAGAATGATAGTCAAGCTAACAGCTGGATCTACTTTGTAAATAGTTTTTATATTCATGTCACGTGACTGGTTGAATTTCAAGGAATTAAACTTTTAGTGCTTCATAATTATAAAATATTCTAAAACTATTAAGTGTTATGATTAAAACAACATTCAACTTCACAAATCAGTACAAACTACTGATAGCTAGTATTGTTAAACAAACATTGCACACAAACATTTCTTTTTACACAAAATCTAAAACTGTTATCTCTTTGTCATTTCACTGACATTCTTCACTAGTATGATTTAATTGAAGAAACATAGTTTTAAGGCTTTTTATTAATGAATTAACAATTTATGTTGAAAATGACGGACATATTCTGAAAATCTAAACTTAATTTTTACACGCACTAAGATCAATGTTTGACTGACATCAGTGTTCTGTAATGTTTGCAGAAATATCTAATTTCGGGAAAAGCTTTTTTTCATCTTACTATTGTTTGCTACTTATTTCTCCTGGTGGTAGATAAAAAATCAACTTAACTGTTAGCTTAGCACATAAATTGTCACACTTATGAATAAGTTTTACTAGTACAAAAAAAGTAGATGTTAGCATAATATCTTATTGACCAGGTTTTCCATGGTGGTCTAACTTTAATTGACTCATGATTTCAACTACTGAAATTACTAAAATCTCCACAAAATCTCTTCTGAAATTCCAAGCATTTGATAGGTTTTGAGTATCTTGGATTCAAATTAAATAAACAGAATAAAGGTAGTAAATATTTCATTGTTCAAAAACTTTTAAACTTATGCTTCCACTTTTTTCATGAAAAATAAACAGTTTTTATCTTGTTCTCTTTTTGTTTCTATTACTTGAGTTTTCATTCACAAACGGGAAGTAGCAAAACATTTTATTTTGAGTTGTTATTCAGAATATTCATTTCTTTATCTGTGTTTTCCTTAAACATAATCAACATTTACAATAATAAAATAGTTCTGTTAAATTACCTTGATCATTTAAATTTACTGTTTGTTTGTTTTGTTTTTTTAATGTAATAAACAAAATGGTTAACATTCAGTTTCTATCCTGATTTTCACAAACTTATGTAAGTATATCTTGGGTCACTTAAAGTCTATCTGATTGTCCATATGCTATTTTGATAAGTGAAGGTTAGTCTTCTTCATATTATTAATAAAACGGCCATCCAGTGCTTCCAAGTTTTCCATAGTGGTCTATCTTCAATTGACTCATGATTTCAATCAAAAACTTAATTATCTCCACAACCCTAAACTGATCATTTCAATAATCCAATCATAGTACAGAAATTTACATCAAGTATATGATTGGTTGATTTATACAGATTCTATAAATAACTAACATTTATTAGCTTAATTATGATTGGTTCGTTAATCAACAGATTTTCAAATAATTAATATTAATCTGTAAATAATAAATCATATTTTAAAAATGATATTCAAAATATCATATTCATTTTATTATATTAAAAGTTAACATCCATTTATTAAATCATTCATTAAAAATGAATAATCTTCCACAGATTTTAATTGATCCAATTATTAATGAAAAGGAGATATTAGAGACAATAAGTGAACCAACTGAAGATTGTAAATCATTAACTGTACCACTTTTGAAATTTTGTATTAACATTGACGATAATAATAATAATAATGTTGACAATAATGGTAATTGTAATAACAACACAAATTACAATCAAAATGATGGACATATGAATTATAATAATCATTTAAATAATATTATTGATCATTCTAATAATTTAGGACAAACTATAGTTGGAAAAATATATATAAGATCTGTGAATTCATCAAATTCATCAGATAAATATAATCAACTTGTATGGGTACAAATTTATCAGAAATCATCATCAATTTCATCAAAACTTAATACACATAATATAGATATTCCAACTTTTGTATTATTATTAAAAACAAGAATAAATCCACAGAATTCTGAATATACACCTGATTATTATTCACCACCTTATATGACATTTAATTTAAAACATACACGTTCAAGTCCAATAGATGAGAAACATTTTCATATTTATACAAGATGTGGAGAAGGTATAACACTTGAAGGTGAAATAGCTGATGAACATTCTGTATCTTACTGGTTATCGATTTTTAATCAAAATACATTCATTCCTAATCATATGGAATTTATTCGTACAAATGAAATAAAAATACGTTCGGCTCCTAATTCTCCTAGACATATAAGACGACGAAATAATATTACTACTGATATGAATAATAAACATTGTTTCATTGATAATCCAACAAATTGTAGTACACATTCAATTTCTCGTATGTGTATATTTGAAACACTTAATGAAACACAAGAATTAGAAAGTGGAGTATGATGGTAATTTTTTAAAATTTACAATGTAATCATCATTTGTCTGTCTGTTTTTAACATGTAAATTGCCTTACAATGTTTATTATTACAATATTATTCATGCTATATCATTCATAATCATTAGCACTTTGTTAATATTTTCTAATTTGTATTACTAAAGGAACCAGTATCAATGTGTATTTCATTATTTTTTATCTAACATCAAACAGATTATTCCGATAAATTAAACATTCCTTGTATGATCATTATATCATTGTCATAATTTATAAGACAAATAATTTTGTATTAAGCGCTTATTATAAAACTATGAATGAGATGCTAGAAAATAAATCATTAAACAATAAATGAAGATAATAATTGGATTTTTTTACGAAGATTTATTCATTGATGTGACTTTCGTTTTTGTTTTCGTTTTTAGGATAACTTACTTATGATGTCTTCTTTTTTTTAATTGTTGCTCTAAGACAAATGAATATAGATTGTAAATAAAGTAGTTTCGATTATTAAACATTGCATGTTGTGCTGATTGTTTATTCTATAATAACGGATGATACAATGTATACTTCATATAATGGTCGTCAGGTTTTATATAATAATGAAATAGATGTATTATTTGCCTCTTTTTTGATCAAAACAAGATAAGATCAAAATATGGAACGAGATAATGATAGGTTGAAGGTCAGCAATAACCAATCAAAATCAAAGTTGACAGAATAGACTAAGTCAGAAGTGGAGAAATTCGGTTAGTTCATTTCTACCTAAAGTATGTTCTGATGATGTTGTATAGAAGAATAACGAAAGTTTCAAGACGAAACCATCCAGATTAGAGAAGAAAACTCTACCGAAATCATTCATTGGAGCGACAAATCTCCTCCATTATTATTTACCTTATGCATAAAATATATCATCCATATGATTGATTCTTGTTAATAACTAGGATTAAAATACATTGAAACAGAATATCGAATTTTATGCATCCTAATTCCTCGGTAAACTTGAATAAAATGATAAGGACAAGATTTACAAAATAATATGAATTCATCATATTTCAAGGCTTTTCATTTGCTGTAAATGACCAAAAATATTCATTATTATTATTACTACAGAGCTATTGGTCCCTCTGATAAATTTGTATCGTGTAACAAGAAGACATAAATTATCAAAACGACGTGATATATTAGAGCAGTACATTTCAAGCAATCTTATTACACATATACTTGTTAAGAACATTTCTATATAATAGTTAAGATAGATTAGTATATATATTATTAGAGATGTAATTATAAAATGTAGGGGTTGAAGTGTAAAATTGATTATAAAAAAGACAATGAATAAAAACAAATTGTTAACATAACAATCAATTATAATACAATTCAAGTTAAGATCATAAGTGAATATCAGTGGAATTCAGTGTAATAAAGAGATAATATAATTGATAAACATTAAAATAACTATCAATAACGTATAGTGATAATGAAAGGTTTACCAAACATTGTTTCTGTATACAAAAGTCAAATCCTAAACGTTTGATTGCAACAACCTATTCAAAGAGGAGTAAAAATGGTGTTTACAGCTTGTTAGTTATTTTAAACACTTTTATGATATTCACGTTGTTACCAGTTAATTGGAAAGTCATGCTCAAGCTTCAGTCTTTAAATAACTAAAATTCTTCATACAGATATGGTTAAATTAAACTGAATACATCAAAAAGTATGAACGTTTCCTATATATATATATATATATATATATATATATATATATTATATATATATAATATATATATATATATATATATATATGATAAGGAAATGACCATAATCATATTCGTTAAATCCAAACAATCTCTGATAGTGAAGTATTTGAATTATTTCTAACGAAATACTGTTACATCTCTGTCCTTGACCGACAGCGTGGAAACAAAAGAATTAGATTTTTAATCAACATTTGGATTAAGAACAGAGAAAACAATGTTTTCTGTTATTACATTATGCTGCATAATTGTTTATATTTTTAAAACCAAGTTATGATAATTCAGAAAGTCAATAAAACAGATGAAGTTTCATAATCAGAATGGGGTTTTGTGGATATTATAATAATTTAATAGTTGAATTCATGAGTCAATTAAAGCCAGACCACCATGGAAAACCTGGAGACACTGGACGGCTATTTTGTCCTAGTATATTTAAAAGAAACTATTCAAATATACATTGAATATACTAGTAATCTATGTGAAACATAGCATTTAACGTTTCCTTCCATAATTACTGGGGATAAGAGTACAATAAAACATTATCATAAAACTTAACTCATAAGCTCTAGTGACTTTCAGCAACTTGTTCACGTTTATTTATTGAATAAAACAAATCCCTATTCTCAATCATTTACGTACAATCGTATATTCTTCTAATAAGGAGAAACCACTTGTTGTAGTTCTATTATTCTAGAATAGTTCACATGTTTACAAAGACACGAAACGCCACTCAAATTTTCTGATAACTTTATTACCAAATTTATCAATGAATATAAATTCGTTTTGGAATAAAAATATCCCGTTAATATAATTTATGTTATATTTGAATCTGATTAGTAATCATTCTCTACAAAGAATCGTATTAATGAACTGATGATAAACATCAAGTGGTTATATGATCGTTGTTCGTAGTATTCACAACAAAATCATTCCTTTTCGCATAGTTACAAAATACACGTCATTTGATTTTGACTGCATTCATAAGTAGTTAAATAAGAACAATTTTCAAACCGTGAAGGTATTTATTATTGTTTACTTTGGTTTTACACCTGTTAGTACCTTGTCATTAAAGCAAACACCAATGATTCAACGACCAAGCATAGAAAATGATCCAATCCGATGTGTATATTACTGGATGCGTAGTGGTCAGCGGCCTAGAGGTTAAGCGCTCGCTGCGATACCTTCAAGTTTTGCGTCCAATCAACCAAGGCCACTTTCATACACACTAGTGAGGGGTTGCCATACTGGTACAAAACAGATGTCCAGTGCTTCCAGGTTTTCAAAAGTTGCCTAGCTTTGATCTGTTCATAATACTGATAACATTCAATACTCTGCATAAACCTCTTATATTGATATTTACTACTCATTTGTGAATAGGTACTAAGGCTTTAGCTGTAGTTTCACTTTGTACTAAGAAACTTTGATCTTAAATGTATCATCAACTTTTAATATATTTATATTCATTAGGAGTCGATAAATGTTTCGAAAATTTTAGAGACATTTATTTATTTAGTAAAGATATGAGTGAAAAATACATATAATTGACATATTCTATGGTGTGTGCTAATAATGTCGACAGATATAAGTAGTATGTATCACCAATCGAAACTAAAATGACTAACAGTAGAATGTTAAAAAAATTCGAAGAGAAGAGAACGAGAACAGAGAGTGATTGGTATAGAATCGAAGGAACAACAAAGTTTGAGACAATTGATGGATATTATGCAAGTGAAGTATTTACTGTATGATTCTCAAATTTTACCAAGATATTTTGTAATTATTATTATTTATTATTTTAACACATAGCTATTGGTACAAGGAGGCACCAAATACATATGCGTCACACAAATCTCATTTGATATGTGTGAGGGTTGTGATACTAATCAGGTGCCCAAACCGAAGCAGGTGGTTTTATTAGGGGGGCACACCCATAGCCTTCGACCTGAGGGTATGATCCACAAGGCAGTGGAGCATTGTGAGAAGATGCATTCCCATGGAAGCCGGTGACCAACAATTGGTTCATACGCCATTTGTTCCCTCAGGGTACCGGAGCCCATGTGCACCATTGGTTTGGAATCAGTTTCCTAACTCACCTAGGTGAACTCACAGTGTCCACCGGCCCAGGTTAAAGTGCCGGACATTCGCTTTTCGTCCCTTGAATTTCGTAAACAACACCCCCGCCACGAGAAGGCAGTGAGTATGACTTCCCTGGCAGAGGCTATATACGCGTGGCTATGTGAGAGCATTTGGAGAGGGAGAGCGGACTACCCCCACTCTTGGCCATACCAGGGCATTTGATGGCGATTTGTTTGTCCCAACCTGTATTCTCTTTCACTACAACTCCTCTACTTTCCCATATGATACACTGTAGTGGTAATAAGTCCTCCTTTTCGATTTTCTTTTAAATGTCATAATAGTGTGCATGACAAATCAACGCATTTATTATTTACATAAATGATGTTAATTTTATGCATAGAATGAAACATCAACAATATCTATACTTCAATATTAATCAATAGTTTTACTCTTCAAAATTCTTAACTAATAACTACGTATTATGGTTGGTATAAATCAATATTATAAAATGATAAGATTTTGACAACAGTTGTTACTTTTGTTGTTGAACAATGACATGCAACTTACATTTGTTTCTACTGATATTCTTCTCTTGAAGAATGATAAGTATATTGCAATGTTCTTTTTTTAATATTTGTTTTGTTGTTTTACTTAAGACAAAAAATCCCCTGTATTGTTTTCTCTTTCTAATCGCGTATATTTGCTAACGTTATAGTATTGTTGAGTATTAGTTTAATCTATTTATCTATATTAGAATTATCTTTCGTTTTAAATTTCATTACTATATTTTTAAACTTAATGGATATTCATTTCAATGAATTGATGAACTAAAGCCAGTTAGGAATAAGTAAAAACACATTTTGTATTTTCGATTTACACCCTGATGAATATTGGTAGATACTGAAATAAAAGGAAATTCAATAACTATCAGGTGTTAAATAGAATTCTTGAGTGCTGCTAGAAGTATGAGGGCGGTTATCACTTCCCGGTTGCCCACACTATGGAACGGTCCTTCTGGAGGTACCTGAAAAGGAAATTGGATTAGAGGTGATCTTAGTGACCTGAGAGCGTGACCGCAGTGCACAAGATACAAATGCTTGAGGTCGGTCACACACCACCTTTTTATGAGTAATTTTCGTATTAGCTCAGTACTTGCTGAGACTTTACCGCCGGAGACG